GAATTCAAACAGTACCATGACTCATCAAAATTTGTATTGTCAGTTCCCCACCACTTTATTTATCACCATGGCAACAATTATAAACAGTAGCAGCTTTTTCACAGAATTGAATTACAAACTTTACGGTGATTAATCGGCCGTGCGTGATAATCTGTATTCTTCCTCAGTTCTTCATACATACCTTTTGTCAGGACCAGACAACATTAGCGATAGGTAGGTTTGTTCTGTCCTTCTTGACTCTCACAAAGCTGATGTTAATGCATCTAAAAAGTACTAAAATATTTCATACATAACATCAGTGCCAACATTAGTGGCAAAACCGCATTTTAAATAAATGAAAACGGTTTTAAATTCTTGCGCCACATGCTGAACCATGTACCAAGAATATGATATTCTCTCTCTTCTATTTTTATGATTTCACATTTCAAAGGGTGACCGATAGGGATTTATTGTCAGGAACCAAACACTCGGCAGCAGAGGCACTTTTTCAACCCTGCAGGTGGGACGCTCTGCTGTATGCAAAAAAACTCCAGTGAGCTGAAGAGATCCAGTGTAGATAATATCTGCTTAAACCCTGCAGTTGCACTGTGGGTTGTACTTGACATATTCATCAGAAATACACCTTAGTCTACATATCAGATCTATATCACATATATTAAAATGACTGAACGTTGTCGTAAAAGTGAGGGCCGGAGTTTCTTGTGTTATGCAACACTGGAGAGAGGGGAGCGGTGGATAAGTACAGCAAGAAACACGCTAAATGGCATTTTTGTGAGGCCTATAGAGAGGGCATGTTTTAAATTGTTAATAAGCTTCATCTGCCAAGAAGTAAAGGTTGTTTGTGTAGGCCGAGTATAAAAATCTCCATGTTGGCTCATGAAAAAAAAGACCAAAAAAAAAAAAAGCTTGAGGGCTGAGAAACAGAAACTCTTGTGTGGGTGATATAATGCCCCAGTAATGATCTGAGATGTACTTTTAGAAAAATTCATATGCCAGGCAAAAGGTCAGGAATTTTATTCATGTTACACTGCATTTCTTATTGATAAATATACATGTCGTCAACACGTGTTGCACAAGAAAAGACAAATATCATTAAGTGAAATTACAGCAGCATTTTTGTGAAAAATGTTGTGGGGGGGTTTCATAGAAGAGGTTCAACCTGAGGTGCACATTTAGCCTAGGATTTGATAGCCTTCTGGTATTTATGTCAGCCTGTGAAGTCTTTTCCCCATGTCTTTTACACTTCACTCCACTGAAATCTGGTTAAATACAGACACAGACTCCGGTGGAATGAAGGATAGAACACATGGAATATTCCCGCAGGGTCTGAAATCAAAGACAAAAATGTGAACTGTCAAAAAAAGTCTTTCGGCATCTACACAATAAGATATCCATTCACCCCAAAATTTCCCCAAAGTAATAAAGGACTGAGTTTTTATTACAGGTGCAGCCTGTGTGCCTGCTATCCCATTAAGAAAAGCCTCCCGCTTTGGAATAGAGGCCAACTCGGTAACCTGCTTCTGGAGTGTGCAACCGAGACACGGTGATTTATGAGAAAGCCTCGGCGGTTGATAAAGTGGCAAAGAGTGGAGCCGCGATTGGTCGTGGGCCTCTCCCTTCCTTTGGGCTGGAAGCTTGAGCGAGACGGGGCTTGCCCCGCTCCGCGGCTCCAGGCTTTCAGGCTGCTGTTGAAATCCTAGGGCTCCGACACGTTATCACAGGCCTAAACCGAACGACTGTTTATTCACCGGTGATGCAAACCTCGCCACAGCCCACCTAGAGCCCACCCAGCCCACCTCGCTATCGAGTTCCACAGGGACCCGCTCCCGGGGGGAAAAACACCTGGCTCTATTCTTTAAAATTGATGCTTTCTCACCCAAGGCTTGCACACACTTTTCTTCCCAGATGCTAACCTCTTATGCCAGAGAAGAAGAAGAAAAAAAAAACACGGTTGATTCAGCTAAACTTTAAAAAGCAAATTATTCATTCACTTCAGCTTAAGATGAATAAATTCACAAGTCATTCAGATATAATTGTAACTGTAAGCAAAGTGCTCAAGGATAAATGAATACCTTACCTTACCGAAACACGTTACTCACCTTAAAACGCCTTTCTTTCTTCAGTGACTGTGGCAACAAAAAAAAAAAGGGGAAAAAAAGCTTGAGGTGGTTTGGAAGTGAGTGTAAGGCACAACTGACAAGTTGCTATGTAGCTTCTCTCTAACTTTTTTCTCTACCTGGTTCAGGTATTTGTGTTTTAGAGGACTGTGTCAACCAATTATATGCCAGATCCTGAGAAGGACCACCCATTCTTCGCTGCTAAAAACCCTGCCACACCTTGCTTTGTGGCATGGTTGCGTTTTAAAGAATTACAAAACATCCAAATAGAAATTCAGACAACCTCGAAAGTGAGAGTAATAGTTCAAAAATTAATGTGGTCAACAATTTAGTAATAAATATCTTATTACCATAATAGACTTATATCCACTTGAAAGGCACTGAAGGCAGACTCCAGGGAGAAAGGACCCACAAATCCAATAAAGGAGTTTCATGTAATATTCATCTAATAAGGGCCTTGTGTTCATTATTTGATGAGTCTCGGCTGTAATTTGTTCCTTTTCATCTCATCCTCTGGAGTAAATCCCATTTTTTCATTAGACCACAGCCTTTTCAAACCGTCTTAAGTAGTTAATATAAAAATGTTTGGAATACAACTGTAATAAGGAAGAAAATGACATGTGTGATATAGAATAAAGAATAAAATCTAGCAAACAGTTTAGTCAAGATCTGTTTGTTTGTCATCAAGTGCGCTTGTGGTTTCTGATAGAGCCTCCGTTAAAGACATGTAAACACGTTTGTAGGTTAGAAGTTTTTTTGGACTTCGAGAAAATGTCAGATTTTGGGCCTCCAGTGCAAAACGGAGTTTGATCCAATGTCCCTCACTTTGAGAGGGGACACATTCGAAAAAGCATTCCTCGCCCACACAATGGCCGGTCTGGTGGTGGGTCGGAGGGGGATGGGTGGGGAATAAGGCCGCCAACACATTCCTGAGGAGGACAGCTGCACGCAGCCTCACCTGACAAGGTATTCCTCTCCGGGGCACAGTCATTTAGCCCCAATCTGCTTTCCATGTGAGTTTATGGACAATGACACCAATACCTTTGAGTTATGACCTGTTGTTCCCAAGAGACAGACTATGCATTCCCTCAGTCTTCGGTGTGGGCTAGCTATGGACAGTGACTTGTTCAGGGTAATCTTTTGGACCACTAGAAGGTGACAGGTGAAAAACGAGCCTCTAAAAACACACTCCTTGAAGGCAGCTCTGAGTTCTGGCTTGCTAACTAAACTGAGAAAGAGTTGGCGACATTGTCCGGGAAAAAAAAAAACATATCACAAAACCTATTTTTCTACTTTCTTTTATTTTTTCACAAATAGACTTTTACTATCCTGGCAGAATGTGTCAGTCTGCATCAAATACAGACGTCTCATTGAAGTCTCTGACAAAAATGGCTGCTGTTTTCAGCAAGCTCCCACAAATAAGATAGGAAAATCCAGGTGCAAATCCACAAAATGGCTCTTTGTTTACTACATTGTTTTTCTTTATTAGTAATATGGCAAAACGTGTCAATTTCATATGCAGAGTGACTCCAAAGCACGCTTGCCTGTTTACAAGCTGTGGTGCGTGGATTTCATTTCTCCAGAGTCATGATCAGATCTGCTCTTACATCATTTTTCCTCTAATGGAAAATGAGATCTTCAGCGTCTTCGTTAGCTTCCGGATTTGCATAAAAATTCTGCATCAATCTGCTCGATACCTTGACATTAAGTAATATGGCAACATGGTGTGGTGTGAGAAGTGACCCTCTGAGATTAGTTGAGTGAAGAGTGCTGTATTTCTGCACCACATTCCCCTGAAGGCTCCGTTGCAACATGTCACTGCAAAGAATGCGAGCTTCAACACAACACTCACTGCCTCTAATGCATCGTGCTAGTTTGTCTTGAAACAACCGAACACAGTGTAACAGAAACCTGATTGACTGAATAATTAAGAACGAGGGAGGAAATTGAGATTTTCCAAGAATTTTGCAAAAAACTTTTGGAGTTCAATTCAAGTCATTTTAGCAGATGTTAAAAACACTGTTTTTCGTCTTAAATACACTTCAGATATATCCTTTTTGTATCTTGAGAGTGGATTTAAAAATTGTGACAACTGAAAGCAAAAGGGAATTCACAAAATAGTTTAGCATCATTCTCAGTAAAATGAAATCCATTGATACGTTTACTAATGCCATACATAAACGTAACTGAGACGTCTCAAACTTTTATTAAATCTTTCTTTTTATTCATACATGTAAATATATTGAACTAAAGTGCATTTTGAATTCATTTCAAATAGTTAGTAGTGCCCAGACAGCAAATCAAGAAACACTTCATAAATAAATGTGCATAAAAATCGAATAACAAAGTAAAATAGTTACTTTTGCTTATACATTATAGTAACAGTTTGCAACTTTCTTTGACATTCATAGTTTTTTAAATGTTTTTGAGTAGGATTTCATTGTGTTGGCTTAGTGTGAAGGCTCTGTAGCTGGAGGCTGCCCCGGGGTGGTTTCTCCACCTTTGTACTCCCCATGTCTCCATATCTGGCGCCTCATCTGGGCCTAATTCTGCTCTTATTCGGCGTGCCAGGAATGCACCTCCCTTCTAATGCACTTTTGTGTTCGAGCAAATTGACAATGTGGAGGGCCATCATATTGCAGTATAAATATTTCATTCCTCATTTCGATGCAGATTCCAGACGTCACACCCGGAATACCAATGGCTCGTCTAAACGGGACGGATGTGCTGCAGCCTGCGTGTGGATGTGATTTGTGTGGGCTCTAGACAAATACAGCGAAATCTGATTAGGGATTATCGAGAATCACTCTCACTGTAAAACAACTAAATGAATCAGTATTGCATGATTTATTATTAAACTGCACAATTTGAGCTTCGGAAGTTTATTGGCAGTGGATCAAAATGAGCAAAAATGTCTGATAAAGATGAATGTAGCATGCCTTTTTAGGTGTCTACAGCACATACAAAACTCTATTCAGCAACATAATGTTATAAGAGACTGTAAAATAATCACATATTCACTTAATTGGAGGTCAAAATCAAGTTCAAATTCCATCCTGACCAGGCTTTACAGTGTTAGATTTTTTAAGTCTCCAGAAACAGAACTTTAACTCACTGTGACTCACTTCCTGGTTTAGGTAAAGCAATAAAACCAGCAGGCTAAACATTCCAAAAATGTGTTTGGGCTTCAAACACGTTCACCAGATGTGGCCTTCAAACAGGCTAGGGAGGTCAGGGTCATGTTTCCGTCTACGTTTCAAAACCACAGAAATGTGGTTTGCAACGATTTCCAATTTCTTTTAGAGATTAGGTTGCTTTTTCATGGTTGCTGGGGAAGTTTCGAATCTCAGCTTTAGTGTAGGCGATGACACTCTCCATCTCTTACCCCCTACAAAATTAATTAAATGAGCTTCCACTGATCTACTTCCGCTGAGTTGATGTATAGTCCTGGAGCCCCTAAAAAGGCTAAGGGTGTGCAGATGCAGTCCGAGAAAGCCAGAGCCGATCATTAAGCTGGCTCATCAATTTTACCTGGTATCCAACGTGCACAAAACGGATGTTCTACTCTGGTTATTGCTCCTCCTATCACAGAGTAATCCTTTTTGTGTTCAAACATCCCTCAACTTTACAAGAAGGCAACTTCTGCCACCCAGAAACGATTCATTTCACTGATGAATGCCGAACCTTTAAGCTTCAGTCTAACACACGATTCTTCAGGTTTGGAGTGAAAGCACCTCTCACTTGATGATAAACAAACACAATTCAGAAATATTTCGCTGGCGCTCCCAGATGTCATCTGCTCTTCTGATTACTTCTGATCGACTGCGAGATGTTGGGTCATGAATATTTCTTAAACGGAACACTCTGTGAATCCTTTCGAAAAAAACAAAAACAAATACTGGTGGCCTGAAATGAATCTGCTGGGCAGGAGGAAGCGGGATAATTCCCCTATTCATGCGTGAGACAGGGGGTCTGTCAGGACCCTGTGTTTACGCACTTCTCTCACTGACATGGAACGCTTGGTAATAACAGTGGAGGGATGGCATCACAGCGGGAATCATTGCAAATGCATCTCTTTGGCTGCAACGTTGTGCCTCATCTAAAAGCTACTGGAGCTTGAATGGCTGGTCATTGCCATTACTGAGACCCAGGACCCCCCCCCCCCCCCCCCCCCGCCTCTTCCCCTTTTTTTTCTTCTTTTTTGACACCAAAAAAAAAAGAAAATTCAGTTACTATTAAGCTGAAATCTGAGAATATTGTTTCAATTTGTATTGCAGAATAAGTTCTTTTGTCAATGAGACGACAAATACAATGGCTTCCTAAAGACTCCCAGTGTTTCTGACAACGTGCTGCAGCAGTATCGGTGAATGGGTCTGGGCTTGTTTCTTGTTCAGAATGCCTGTCTGGTATTTCAATGAGCCTCCTCTTCTATAGAAACTCAGGAATTCCAGCTAGCTGGAGGTGTCGATTAGCCCTGCTTTGTTTCGAACGGGGGGTGCCTGGCTTTTGTGGGTGGGGACGAGAGGTCAGCGCTCATCTATTGACAAAGGTGAGACAGACATGACCAACCCCCTTTGATTAGGTAGCCCATTCATTAACCTGGTCACACAATGGACCAGACATGGAGAGCCCGGGTCAGATATCTCCCCGCTGGAACTTAGCAGCCAACTCCTAAAAATCTAGTCGTGTTTATCTGTGATTAACCTTTTTTAAGAGTGTGTGAACAAGCTCTATGTCAAAAGCTGAATTAAATTACCCAAATAATAAAAAAAACATGCTAAATCCAATCATTATAGTCATTATTTTTCGCCAGTTCAGCTGTAACTCAAAACCTGAGTTGTAATTCATGTAATTAAGCGATGTTAGTCATGGTGGGTCTCCTAGATCCTGTTTTCACATGCACTGTGGATCCCTCACTGAACTGATGGTTGTCTTCAAAGAAAGTAAATGCCTGGTGTAAAAGGACCAAAGGTGTCACTTAAGGCTAATTTGAATTCCTCCACCGTTCAAGTCAAAAGTTAATCCAGAGACTAAAAAGCACAAATAAGTGAACAAGGGATGAGCAGGTAACACTGTATACACACACACATGTGTAAATATATATGTATATATATATATATGAAAAAGTCAAATGATTTCTCTCATTCACTTTTTTTTTTGTAAATTCAGAAATAAAAGATTTGATCATAATATACCCCCTTTCCCTTAAATGTGACCAATAGCTCAATGAGTGT